CATTGAAAGCTTTCTCCACTTGCACATTTACCACCAACTAGCCATCCAAACTGCGAATCCTGGAGTGTAGGTAGATCTTCAGATAACCTCAATCGTCCTGGCTTAAGCACATTGTCGTACCATTCCATACCAATCAGTAAATCCACTTGACCTGGACGGTAAAATACTGGATCTGCCAGTTGAATCCCCGATGGGATATTCCACGAAGCAACGTCTATTGCCAACGTTGGTAGAATTCCAGTAACCTTTTGGGAAACCAAGCAATCCAACTCCAGTTTGAAATTGCTGTGCTTTGCGAGTATTTGAACCTTGACCTTCTGTCGAACGCTGGATCGGAGACTGTTCACTCCGGTAATAGGAATATTGACCTCTTCTCGATCCAACTGCAAACTTTCAAGCATTGCTTCCGAAATAAAGTTAACTTGCGATCCGCTGTCTAGAAGGACTCGACAAGAATGTGGGTTTCCTTGCTTATCCAGAACGTTAACCATGGCAGTGAGCAAAAATACCTGCGCTGCTGACTTCTCGACCATGTGCGAAGCTACGGTGGTGGAAACTTTCTCTGGCGTTGCTTTGACGTTGATTGCTTGAACTACTGTAGAAGATTGCGATACCTGCTGCTGATCGGGTGCCTTGGGATCGCTTGCACTGGAACCTTGGTTGTAGCTGCCTTCCGCATGAAGTAAGGTGTGATGCCTCCTCTTACACTTCGAGCATGACTTCGTTGATTTGCAATCAGCTCCTCGATGTCCACGTCTCAAACAATTAAAACACACCTGTTTTTCACGCACTAGCTTCAGCCGATTTTCCACTGACATACCATTGAACGTTGAGCACTTGAATGCCAGATGATTTCCTTCGCAAAATTCACAACTGCTAGACGATGTCACTACATTCACCTTCACATTTGACTGCTTGCTTGACACTTGACCTACTTTTCCTGGTGTACGCGCCATTTGCTTAACTTTGCTATCACTCAACGTTTGACATCTTTCTAGTACGGAAATGCGACCTTTCAAGAAATTGACAGTGTCATCGTATTTAGGCAACTCCCCATGAGTAACAGTAGCTTCCCAGAGCTTTTTGGTTTCATTATCGAGCGCGTTCGCGAGGATATGTGTAACAATCACCTCGGAGACCCCAATAAATTCTTGACCCAAAAATTTCAAGTTTTCAACATGACCCGTACATGAATCGATCAACTCCCTTAGCTCGGAGTGACATTCATGCGCCAACTTCTTTAAGCTCAGCAGCCCAGAAATATGATGATCAACCATTCGTCGCTTATCTTCAAACCTTTCTGCTAAAATTTCCCATGCACGGTCATAATTGCCATCCGAGATGGTTTTTGCGTCAATTATGCCGGTTGCGTCCCCAATCAGAGCCTTCTCTAAATGGTAGAGCTTAATGCGAGGTGGATCATTCGACCTGTCCACCACGTCCCTGAACATTATCTTAAATTTCTCCCACTGCTCGTATCTGCCATCAAAACTTGGTACGGCACGAGGAAGCGACTGCTGAACCACCAGCGGTTGCTGGTTTGGAATCGGCTGAACATTCACGGGAACTTGAGCCAATTTCTCGATCCATGTTTCGAGAATAAACGACACATTGTCATAAAGCGTTTCAAATTCCAAGTACTTACAGTCTTGCTCCTTCCTCTTGCTGGCGACGGTGATCGCCATGATGCGTTCATGGTAATCGATGAATTCCTTGTAGGCAGCTTCCACTTTTTTGCTGTACATCTTAATTAGTGGTTGCGTAAAAACTGCCTCTTCAGATTGTTCCAGGATGTTCTTCACACGGGTGACTTTTCCTTTAGCCAGCCCACGCAAATGTGCCAGCGTATCGTACTCATCCACTTCATCGTCATCGCCCTCGTCTCCGCCAACACCACCTTTCATCGGTGTTCTCTTCATGGGCATGATCACTTATCACTTTTTTACTTCAACAAAAGCACTATTAGTCAATGTCACTAGCTTCTTAATTTTCAATTTGATTGTTTCCAATGTTTTCAATAATCTTTGTTTAGTTTTTTCACCAATGTCTTTTGTGTTTTGTGCGCGTACTTTTCGTCTCCATCCAGCCAATCCGCTCATTCCAACCAAATTGCATTGCGATTGCGTTTCATCAAGCGACGAGCCAAATCCAAGCCAAATCCAAGCGCTATCCGGCTCGAAGGACCAAAAATGTTGCGTCGTATTGCAGTGGACTGTAAAACTGTTGTCAAACCAAAGCTGCCTTCATGCAGCGGAGCGAAGCGTTGCTGATTCCCCAAGTGGAATCTAACCAAGCGTTGTTGATTCCCAATCAACCAGGAACTGCCTTAATTGCAGTCAGCTACCAACCAATCAATGCGAATGTTCTAACAACTCTTTCATAGCCCTGAAAAGGGCTGCACACAAACTTTACAGCTTGGTGGAACGAGGGACTTTCGGCTGGAGACAAAGGAGCACACACACACTTTAATTTTCACTCCATCTTATATTGTCTTCTTCTTGATACAAGCGTTTTTCTTCAGCCGTTCTCGGCTCACCTTCTTCTTTCCTATTCTGTTCCTATGTTGCTACTGCTTGCTCGGGTGGTCGTCACACAACTGAAAACGCGGACAGGTAGCCGTCTTTTTTATACCTCGCTTGTTGTCGTTGTTTGCTCTCTCGTCATCGAGCTGCTGGTGATGTTCGTTATCAAGGCGTGGCTAGTGCTGCAAATCTTCTCCTTATTCAGTTCGTTGCGTTGCGGACTGAACAATTTGCTTGATTAGTTCTCGAGTTATGCAGATGTTTATGTTTCATTTGTATAGGAGCCCCCCTTTACAGAGGGTGGAGGGGTCTCGAACTATCATAAGAACCTTTCCCTGCCCCAAAACCCCAGGATACAAATTTTCACGCCGATCGGTTCAGTAGTTTCCGGGTCTATAAGGATCAGACAGACAGACAGACAGACAGACAGACAGACAGACAGACAGACAGACAGACAGACAGACAGACAGACAGACAGACAGACAGACAGACAGACAGACAGACAGACAGACAGACAGACAGACAGACAGACAGACAGACAGACAGACAGACAGACAGACAGACAGACAGACAGACAGACAGACAGACAGACAGACAGACAGACAGACAGACAGACAGACAGACAGACAGACAGACAGACAGACAGACAGACAGACAGACAGACAGACAGACAGACAGACAGACAGACAGACAGACAGACAGACAGACAGACAGACAGACAGACAGACAGACAGACAGACAGACAGACAGACAGACAGACAGACAGACAGACAGACAGACAGACAGACAGACAGACAGACAGACAGACAGACAGACAGACAGACAGACAGACAGACAGACAGACAGACAGACAGACAGACAGACAGACAGACAGACAGACAGACAGACAGACAGACAGACAGACAGACAGACAGACAGACAGACAGACAGACAGACAGACAGACAGACAGACAGACAGACAGACAGACAGACAGACAGACAGACAGACAGACAGACAGACAGACAGACAGACAGACAGACAGACAGACAGACAGACAGACAGACAGACAGACAGACAGACAGACAGACAGACAGACAGACAGACAGACAGACAGACAGACAGACAGACAGACAGACAGACAGACAGACAGACAGACAGACAGACAGACAGACAGATATAGATTAACATTTTTGCCTAAATCCGGAGTGAGAGTGGTTTGAAATTTCGGCGTAATTACATTTGTAAACAAACACGCCAATCACCGATTTCTCGCGAATTAAAGCTTAATCTAAAAAACTAAAAACACCATTCGGTAAAGGAATGATTCCTCTATCATTTGGTATAGTTTGTTTATGAAAATGCGCTTTTATTCAAGAGAAATCGGCAATTGACTTGTTTGTTTGCAAAAGCAATTACGCCCAAATCTCAAATCACTCAAATCATAAAAAAAAACAATTATGAAAAGTTTCAAGCCAATCGGTTGAGTCTGATCGATTTGCCATTTGACGTGGAACTGCTCACTTCTTCTTAGGATTCTGATAGGGTTATCAGTCTTTCCGATATGTTGTCTTCGATCATATGTTGCGTCGTATAGTTTGATCGATCGAAGCTTGTTAGTTGAAGTGAAGCTAAGTTAAAATTATGTATTTAAACATATCATGGATGGCTGCATTAGCGTAATATCTCCAAGAGTAGCTTCCTTTCAACTTCTTGGTCCTGCCAAAACTTCTCCGGAACTCCGACAAAATTTGGTTGGAAACGTTCTCTTACTCGATGTTTGCTGAAAGTTCGAACAACTACGACGAATTCCGAAATTTTAATTAAAATTAATTGTCTAAGCCACGTGATTTTTCATGTTGAAGTACGACAACATAACGAGCTGAATTTTAATGGAAATTTATGTGAATTTCTAACTGGATTTTACACCAACGGCAAATGTATTTTGGAAACCCTTTACCGCATGGATTGAGTTCCGACAAAACTCTTAGTGAAATACTATAATACCAAAAAGGTGTTATGAAAGATAAACTCCGACAGAACTGTAGGTATTATTGTAGCTATAATTTCTCGTTTTAAATGTTGAGCATAATCCAGTCTGAGACTACGAAAAAGTGCAATCAGTGATGCCAACCGGATTTGAGACCCCGTTCACTATCGATCACCTTGAAATTGATCATTATAAAATGATGTTTTGGAACTCCGACACAATTGGTTGGAATTTTAAAGACATGTTATCGACAACCTGAATCGCAGCTCCGGCAAAATGACGAAGAAATCTAAACAAATAGAACATCCCTACGAGTTGTTTTGTCATATTGAACTCCGACAGAATGACACCGAAAATTAAAACTTGCAACATTGGAGACTTTTACAATTCTTTCAACAATCAAAACTGACACCTTCCAAGTTTAATATACTCAACTATAACTATGAATACTTTTATTTGAAACCATTAGAATGCAACTCTACACCTAAGTCGATCAAACATCTTCCTCTCATTACCCAAAACGATCGCCACTCGTCACTGCACACCCCTTGTGCCCCATCCGGCAGCACTCCCGACTGCCCCCGCCTGCGCTGATGGTCGTCAGCATGGTCGTGCTCGGAAACAGCTGAATCATCTCCGTATTGGTGCTGGCATCGCTTTTCCTTCGCACGGCGATCCGCTCGTAACAGCAGCAGCACCGGCGCTCGATCGCATGCACCAAATGGAGGAACCCCTGGCGAAACTTCTCATTCATGTAGCAGTAGATGACCGGATTGTAGCAACTGTGCGACATGGCCAGCCAATGGAACAGGAACCACAGATAGGGCAACGGTTTCCAGTCCGGATCCAGCGGGATCAGCATGAAGATGTTGAACGGCAGCCAGCAGACCGTGAACACGACCACCACGGTGATCATCATCTTGATCATTTTACGCTTGGATTGGAGAATCCGGCGATCGCGCTGCTTGACCGATTCACCCGGGGGGCTCTTGGCCCAAACCTTCCAGGCGATCTGAACGTAGGTAGAGACCAGTACGATCAGTGGAGCGAGGAATTGAAGAGTCATCAGGGTGATGGAGTAGCTGCGGTCGGACTGATCATCGGGCCATACTTCGGTGCAGATGGAGAGATCGCATTGGTCGTACCACTCGATGGGTTGAATCAAGGTCGAGAAGACCGGGATCGGAGCGGCGGTCAGCAGAGCTCCAGTCCAAACGAAGACGATGAGGATCCTGGCCAGACGTTTAGTGACCCTGGGCTTCAGAGGCCACATTATGGCAATGTATCGATCGGCACTGATGGCGATCATGGTGTACGCACTGACCAGTACCGATATGGCTTGCGAATAATTGACGATCCGGCAGATGATCAGGCCGAAGGGCCAGTACTGTAGCACGAAGATCGAAACGAACGAAAACGGGATGCAGAAGATGGCCATCAGCATATCACCGAGGGCGAGGTTCGCGATGAACAGGTTCGTAACGGTGTTCATCCGAGGTAGCAGATGAACCACTAGGAATACGGCGATGTTACCGACGATCGAGGTCAGGAAGATCGAACTGTACGCCAGGTAGATCAGGATCTGGAACCGAAGGGAAGCGATCCCCTCCGGGATGTAGGACGAACCGTCGCATCCGAACCGGATCGTGTCGTTATCGAGCCAGGTTCCGTTTTCGGTGAAATTCATCCCGGATGGAAGCTTCGCGATCGGCGGTTCAACTGAAACTGTGGCCTGATCTAGCGAGTTTCAAAACAAAGATTGTTTTCCTCCCCAGACACTCAACTAGCATATCGGTGACAAATGATCACCTCGTTAGCATGTGGGCATCAACTCGTCGGAGCTGCAGCAAGCAAACGACGACGACGGCGACGACGACCACGACGGCGACGGTGATGCGCGTCCTTTTCAAATGCTGATTTGGGGGTTTGTTCAACTTCCGCTGTTGCGATCAAATTTTTGCAACCTAAGTTATTCATAGTTTTTGGCGACGGCGATCAGTCTGCGGATGGATCACGTTTCACGGCAACAACAAAAAACGGCTCGCGATCACGTTGCACAATCGGTTCAAGTGCAATCGATTCCCCGTGGACATTTCGAAAACTAGAAGCAGCGATACGACGGTACGAAGGGTTCGTCGGGGGTCCTACGGCCGCAGCTGTTCGGTTGTGTGGCGGGGGGGCAGGGGGTGGTAGCGAATTCAGCTAATCTTGAATTGCAAATCTGTTTTGCCGGATTGCAAATCATGTTTTGATCGTTTTTCTGCATTGCTGGGTTGGCTAGAGGACAGCTTATGGAAATTGTTTATTTGTTTTCTGTAAATTAACGTTTTGGGAGGAACTCCTGTATGTGTTTAGATGATTTTCCGTGAAAAGTTAAGCAAAAATGGGAGCCTGAATTTTGTCTGCATCCTGAGGTTGCAAGGAAAATTGATTGAAATTGTAGCTCCGGTTCCAGATCAGTCAAAAACTTAGTTTAAAAATCTAATACAGTTCCAACGTTCTGGATATAGGGTAATTGAGTCATTTACGAAATATGTAACAGTTCTGGCACAATCCTATATACGCAATCGTACCAGATTTTGGTCGCTGGTACCCTTCCCCTAATCACAATCTAAGTTTGCGAACAACATTGATACAACTCCGATAAACGTTCCATGAGTATTGCGTCCACACCCCCAAGTTGCAGAAACGCACTCAAACACCGACAAATTTCTGGATCAAATTTGCTTTGTAAAGTTTGGTTTCCAAACAAGGCAAGGTTCTATATATCCAGATGAATGGAAACTGAGAAAGTAGAAAACACTTTCATGTAAAATTGTTTTTTTTTTTATATAATGCTGGAGTTTTGAGTCTACACCCCTAACTGCTTACTGGTGTATGTTGTTTGAAACGGATGTGAAGTGTGTGGAATCAAACTTCAACAATGTTCTGTATCAAATTTCGACAAATTTCCATTGCAAACTTTGATTTTTAATCAATTGATTATTAAAATCATCACTACAGACGAATTTGACACGGTTCAATTTTGGCAAAACTAAATGTTCGGCCTTGTTGCCAAAAATTGAACTGTCACTGTATTCCAATTTCCGTACCGGTTCCCACCGTCAGCTGCTACAAAGTCACCGACCTTCCGATCACGTTAGCTGTATTACTCCGGATAAATTGCTAATCCACAGGTTCCATTCTTCTGTCGCTTGGCTGCTGCTGCTCCGCTCGAGCGGTTCATTTATGCTTCAATTGATTCGATTGGACACTCTGCCTAGAGTGGAATGCACCGACGACAGTCCATTGTTTCGACTCCCCAGAATGTATGTAAACGTTGTTTTTTTTTTAGTTTCAGTGTTGTCCCTAGCTTCAATTCAATCAGAAGCCATTTTCGATTCTATTTTCAACGTCATTTGAATCACTAAGTAGCACCTGATGATAAAACAATCGCCGCTCGGCCAACGCGGATTCCAGACCAGAGAACGTGCGTAGCACAGTTCGTTGAACAGATTGAATGGAAATTGTGCGAGAATGAGCGCGAGGTGTGTTCCTACGTAGGGTAACTTCCCTTCGTCCAGAATCCAGTTAATGAATCGCCGAGCCAATCCAATCCAAGCCTGATTTGCATGTAATGATAATTCAACGGATTCGCTCCGGTTCGCGGTTCTAGTGGAGCAGCGACTTCCCTCCCTAGTAATAAATTCATTCATTCTCGAACTAACCCGCTGCGATGCGAATGCGAAGCGAACTGATGGATGATGGGAAGAGGCAGCGAAAAGCACATTAACATTTTAATGATCGCTGTTGCGCTGAATCCGCAGGCCTACTAGACCATTTCTGGTCAGTCACGATGATGCTACTACCGTCGGCCATCCTAGTAGGCACGTTCGGTAGCACTTTTTGGACGCAGCAGGCGAGAGAGCCCCAATTAGCATTCGCATTGTCCGCCCGTATGGTAATCCGTCAAAATTTCGTCATATCCCCTCAGCTGCTAGAGCACTGTTGCAAGCCGAAGGGGGGTGGAGCGCACATTCGCAGTTCAACTGCTTTTTCGAGTGTTCATACATATGTCGACACCTGATTAGAATATGAATTGGCAAACCGGTGGTCGTAGTTGGCGGTGGTGTCACCCTTCCGGACTGATTCCGTTGGTGAAAATCTGAACACAGTAGGCTTGCTTCGTTAAGTTGAAAATTCGTTAAAATATTAACGGAGCGTCGAACATTACACATCTTGCCCATTCGCAACGTTCATTCGTTGTTGATTGCCGGCGGGGGAAAACAAAATTAACAATTCAATCCGGTTTGTTACACACTGTAACGGGGATCACGTGGGGCTGCAACTTGACTCGACGGAACGGACACTGTGGTGAGAGGAAGGGTCCTTCGGGTGGCTAATCACCCCACGGCAGGACTCAGTTCCGTACGGTTTAGTTGTCTATCAAATTATCTTCTATTAGTTTAGACACTGATGGAAAAGCTTACCTGTATTATTGATGAAATCTTAGTCAATTAGACAGAGGACCCTGTCGGAGTTCAATTCATGGAATGTTGGAATTGAGACGGCAAACGATCAGAATTTGATCGGAGGATTTTGTCGGAGTCCCACGCAGAAACTGGTCAAGGGATTTTTTTGTTTCTTATCAAGATCCATTTTCCAGACTGGATCTGTCATAAATTACCCTTTTTTCAAGTGGAATTTTGTTCCTTTAATTTTGAACTACAGTCTGTCGGAGTTCCAGAATCAAGTTTCGTTTTCGAGTATCAAAAATATGATTTGAGTTGGAAGTATAGGGAGAATCATCTGACGAAACTGCACAAATTTCCGTCAATATTCTTTTTTTAAATTTTCGCTTATTTAAGGTCCGAAAGAACCTATTTTTTGGTTATTAACGTGTTTTGGGGGAAAATAGGGCAAAATGAGCAACTTCCCGCGGTCTGCACTATCCGATCTTGTTCCAATCGATTCGTTTGACTTTTCCACATAAGAAGTTATGTGTTTTATGTCTGAAATCTAGCCGCAGCCGCATTCAAAACTATTATCAATTCCCCTTAAATAACGACTTATGGGGAAAAGGGGTCAAAATGGGCTATCTTCTTGGTCTGCACAGTGTGAGATTAGTTGTGGTTGATTTCATTGGCTTTCTACCACATCATTCACCCCATTTTATGACGGTAGATCACCAACAGTGGCATATAAAGCTAAACAACTACTAATTCCACCAAAAAATGGGGGGGGGGAGAAACGGGTAAAATGGGAAACTTCTGGTAGTCTGCGCATGACAAAACCATTCGATTCTCCGGATTTGTTTTACATTGGAATAGATATCTCACACCGTCTGAAACAAGTGGCAAAAAATAAGTGCACTTTTGGGTCAGTTTTGGCCCACTGTGCAGCGATTTGCCGGAGTTTCGGCGATTCGTGGCTTGGATTCCAGGCTTGCAAACTTTTGAATTGACCGTTGGAAAAATTCTGTCGGAGTTGTCTAATAAATTATCTTCTACAGTCAGCTCGCCCTAACTTGATATTCAAGGGACCACCAACTTGGGGAGGTATCGAGTTACAGAACATCACAAAAAATCTCAATATTGAAATCCCTAACATAATCTAATAATTAAAATCTAGATTACTTTTTCAAAAGGACGTATCTGATTTTGTAAACAATTTGTCGAAACTTTTGGCAGCTCAAAGTTACCTACTTCCCCAACAGTTCATCCGGCTTCCCTCTGTACGTATCTTCCAATTTCCACGGGAAGTTTTTTTCAGAGTTGCCCTGGAAATTGCTTTCGACTCTTCCCGGCATGTTTCTCCAAGGTACGCCCGGAAATTTCTACTAGCTTGCTCCAGAAATGTCTACTGACTCTTCCGGATTGGTTTTTTAAAATTTTTCAAGTAAAGCAAATAAGTAAATTTCCAGAGTTGTATGATCAAACTGATACAAAAAAACTGATTCCCGGGAATCGGGAAATGTGAATTTCGGTAAAATTTCGGGAAATTGTTTCCCGAGACGTAGGAAATATTAGTCCAGAATCTTGTCTGGAGATTCTACCGAAACTCTGGTTGATATTTTATCTAAATCCTGCGAAATCTCCAGATGAAATTCTGGTAAAGGGGATTTTCCCGAATCTTTGGACGAGATGCTGCCGAATTTCCGGATGAAATTCATCTGAATCACTGTTCGAGATTCTGATTAATCTTCGGACAAGATTCTGTTGAAAATCCGGACGAGATTCAGTCAGAATCTTGTTTGGAGATTCTACAGAAACTCTGGACAATCCATATTGTTCCGATTCTCCAGATGAAATTCGGTCGAATCTCCAGACTAGGCGGAGATTCTGATGAATTTTTCGATAAAATCTTGTTGAGTCTCCTTGTTGAATTTTCGGACTGGGTTCTGCCAGAGTCTTGTCTGGAGATTCTCCGGATGAAATATCAATAAATCTCTGGACGAAATTCCGAGATCCGATGCTGCTGAATCACCGGATGGAATTCGTCTGAATCACTGTTCAAAATTCTGATTAATCTCCGGACGATATTCTGACGAGATTTTAGTGAATCTTTGGACAAAGTTCAACCGAATTTCCGCATGAAATTCTGCTAAATCTCTGATCGTTATTCTGATTAATCTTCAGACAAGATTCTGATTAATCTCCAGTGGAGATTCGGATGAATTTCGGTATAAAATTTTGTTGAATCTCCGGATGAGATTCTGCC